ATACACACTCCGGTACCTTACATAGACACACCTACGAATATACACACACTCGAATACCTTACACAGACACACACCCACTAATATACACACTGTAATTCGTTACACAGACAAACACACACTAATATACAAACTCTAATACCTTTCACAGACACACACACAAATATACACACTGTAATACCTTATACAGACACACACAAATATACACACTGTAATACCTTACACAGGCACACACACACACTAATATACACACTCCGATACCTTACATAGACACACACCCACAAATATACACACAGTAATACCTTACACAGACACACACCCACTAATATACACGCTGTAATACCTTACATAGACACCCACCCACTAATATACACACTCCAGTACCTTACACAGACACACACACTAATGTACACACTGTAATACCTTACACAGACACACACACTAATGTACACACTGTAATACGTTACACAGACACACACCCACTAATATACACACTCCGATACCTTACATAGACACACACCCACAAATATACACACAGTAATACCTTACACAGACACACACACACTAATGTACACACTGTAATACGTTACACAGACACCCACCCACTAATATACATACTCCAGTACCTTACACAGACACACACACACACTAATATACACACTGTAATACGTTACAGAGACACACACACTAATGTACACAATGTAATACGTTACACAGACACACACCCACTAATGTACACACTGTAATACGTTACACAGACACACACCCACTAATATACACACTCCGGTACCTTATATCCCCTTGATGTGTGGCTACAGACTAAGCAGCGGGTGTCAGGATACGACTTCATGGTACCCACTGCTCTCTGAATGGCAATATTACAGCAAGTATAGCTGATTTGAAAAAAATCTCTATAACATCAGCTATGGTCGCTGTTATTAGTTTAGTCTATATTTTGCCATTTACATTTTGATTCACTAAAGGCCAGTGTTTAATGAAAAAAATTGTTTAGTGTAACAGTTACGCTGACAGTCACATAGCAATGGCGGTTTCTGTAGCCAGCAGGTAATAGTGGGCTGATTAATGGGAAAGGGAATTTGGGGCAATGGGGGGAAGCAAACAGGAAGGTCCTGTTCTCACTGTGCTATGATTCTCTTTCACAGATGAGCTCAGACAGCGTGATAACCCTGGGACGGACTCACAGACACAGAACCCCACGGCAGTCACAGCCAGCATCTCCGTCATAGCCTCACTAGGTGTCATAGCTACTATGCTAATGATCATGATTAAAAGAAACTCACTCTGCAGACTTTACAGGGGTGAGAAAATAGACAGAGAAATGAGATATAACTTCCATGGACTAAACTCAAGAATTTTACCTCCTCTAACATAGCATATCCCCGTCCTAACCGCACCGTGTGATCTCCTTTACCTCCTCTAATATAGAGTATCTCCTCCTAACCCCACCGTGAGATCTCCTTTACCTCCTCTAATATAGAGTATCTCCTCCTAACCCCGTGTGATCTCCTTTACCTCCTCTAATATAGAGTATCTCCTCCTAACCCCGCCGTGAGATCTCCTTTACCTCCTCTAATATAGAGTATCTCCTCCTAACCCCACTGTGAGATCTCCTTTACCTCCTCTAATATACAGTATCTCCTCCTAACCGCACCGTGAGATCTCCTTTACCTCCTCTTATATAGAGTATCTCCTCCTAACCCCACCGTGAGATCTCCTTTACCTCCTCTAATATAGAGTATCCCCCTCCTAACCCCACCGTGAGATCTCCTTTACCTCCTCTAATATAGAGTATCTCCTGCTAACCCCACTGTGAGATCTCCTTTACCTCCTCTAATATAGAGTATTTCCTCCTAACCCCACCGTGAGATCTCCTTTACCTCCTCTAATATAGAGTATCTCCTCCTAACCCCACCGTGAGATCTCCTTTACCTCCTCTAATATAGAGTATCCCCCTCCTAACCCCACCGTGAGATCTCCTTTACCACCTCTAATATAGAGTATCTCCTCCTAAACCCACCGTGTGATCTCCTTTACCTCCTCTAATATGAAGTATATCGTTCTAACCCCACCGTGAGATCTCCTTTACCTCCTCTAATATAGAGTATCTCCTCCTAACCCCACCGTATGATCTCCTTTACCACCTCTAATATAGAGTATCTCCTCCTAAACCCACCGTGTGATCTCCTTTACCTCCTCTAATATAGAGTATCTCCTCCTAACCCCACCGTGTGATCTCCTTTACCTCCTCTAATATAGAGTATGCCCCTCCTAACCCTTTACCTCCTCTAATATAGAGCATCCACCGTGAGATCTCCTTTACCACCTCTAATATAGAGTATCTCCTCCTAACCCCACCGTATGATCTCCTTTACCTCCTCTAATATAGAGTATCTCCTCCTAACCCCACCGTGTGATCTCCTTTACCACCTCTAATATAGAGTATCTCCTCCTAACCCCACCGTGAGATCTCCTTTACCTCCTCTAATATAGAGTATCTCCTCCTAACCCCACCGTGAGATCTCCTTTACCTCCTCTAATATAGAGTATCTCCTCCTAACCCCACCGTGTGATCTCCTTTACCTCCTCTAATATAGAGTATCTCCTCCTAACCCCACCGTGTGATCTCCTTTACCTCCTCTAATATAGAGTATCTCCTCCTAACCCCACCGTGAGATCTCCTTTACCTCCTCTAATATAGAGTATCTCCTCCTAACCCCACCGTATGATCTCCTTTACCTCCTCTAATATAGAGTATCTCCTCCTAACCCCACCGTATGATCTCCTTTACCTCCTCTAATATAGAGTATCTCCTCCTAACCCCACCGTATGATCTCCTTTACCTCCTCTAATATAGAGTATCTCCTCCTAACCCCACCGTGTGATCTCCTTTACCTCCTCTAATATAGAGTATCTCCTCCTAACCCCACCGTGAGATCTCCTTTACCTCCTCTAATATAGAGTATCTCCTCCTAACCTCACTGTGAGATCTCCTTTACCTCCTCTAATATGGAGTATCTCCTCCTAACCCCACTGTGAGATCTCCTTTACCTCCTCTAATATAGAGTATCCCCCTCCTAACCCCACCGTGAGATCTCCTTTAACTCCTCTAATATAGAGTATCTCCTGCTAACCCCACTGTGAGATCTCCTTTACCTCCTCTAATATGGAGTATCTCCTCCTAACCCCACTGTGAGATCTCCTTTACCTCCTCTAATATACAGTATCTCCTCCTAACCCCACCGTGAGATCTCCTTTACCTCCTCTAATATAGAGTATCTCCTCCTAACCCCACCGTGAGATCTCCTTTACCTCCTCTAATATAGAGTATCTCCTCCTAACCCCACTGTGAGATCTCCTCTATCTCCTCTAATATAGAGTATCCCCCTCCTAACCCCGCCGTGAGATCTCCTTTACCTCCTCTAATATAGAGTATCCCCCTCTGAACCCCACCGTGAGATCTCCTTTACCTCCTCTAATATAGAGTATCCCCCTCCTAACCCCACCGTGAGATCTCCTTTACCTCCTCTAATATAGAGTATCTCCTCCTACCCCCACCGTGAGATCTCCTTTACCTCCTCTAATATAGAGTATCTCCTCCTAACCCCACCGTGAGATCTCCTTTACCTCCTCTAATATAGAGTATCTCCTCCTAACCCCACCGTGAGATCTCCTCTATCTCCTCTAATATAGAGTATCCCCCTCCTAACCCCGCCGTGAGATCTCCTTTACCTCCTCTAATATAGAGTATCCCCCTCCGAACCCCACCGTGAGATCTCCTTTACCTCCTCTAATATAGAGTATCCCCCTCCTAACCCCACCGTGAGATCTCCTTTACCTCCTCTAATATAGCGTATCTCCTCCTAACCCCACCGTGAGATCTCCTTTACCTCCTCTAATATAGAGTATCTCCTCCTAACCCCAACGTGAGATCTCCTTTACCTCTTCTAATATAGAGTATCCCCCTCCTAACCCCGCCGTGAGATCTCCTTTACCTCCTCTAATATAGAGTATCTCCTCCTAACCCCACTGTGAGATCTCCTTTACCTCCTCTAATATACAGTATCTCCTCCTAACCGCACCGTGAGATCTCCTTTACCTCCTCCTAATAT